CCATTAGTCCGGGATATAACAGCGTCTAAGCAGTAAGTGTACTCGGAACACTAAAATCATGAGGTCGAATCCGGGTTTTCAGTAAAGCCAGAGGGCATCTAAGTGTATCGTCCCACCTGACTCGGAATTTCACCGAATGAGAACGCCATAGGGACCATATTATGAAGAAACCATTGCAGTCTGACTCTCAGTCCACCAGCCAGCCAGCCGATACACACAAACACACACTAAGCTGATCACGCTTTTCGCGTTATCCTATCATTTGAAAACCTTCCAAGCCACAGCTTTTAGCGCACCATGACATTTTCAAGCGTTTCAGGTTGTTTTCAGTGGGCAAAATGCGTTGAGCCGTCACAGGCTCCAGTAACCGTCAAAACCGGTCAGTGGACTGGTGCACTGCATACGCGATCTGACCCCGAACACAAACACAAGGACGCTGTCCCTATGCGAATTTAAAGAGCAATGATGATAGTCGAGAGAGTGAGCACTCATGCCTCAGCCAACGGCTTATTCAACCTAATATAAATATGAAATATTACTTAAATTGCAGTTGTTCCTGGGCTGGAATTGGAGCATGGCTAGCTGCCAAAGGTTAACAACCCGGAATTGACCATCATTTCATTGTTAGCAAAACCTATCAACGGGAGCACTGCTTCTACGATGTTATTAATGATTCCTTTTTGTACAAAACAGGCCGATTCGGAGCGTGAACAGCTTTCATGGTCCTGCAATAGTTGAATTCCAGGACACAGGAGTCGATACTAGGTAAGAATGGCTACAAGGAAGTATTCCACTCTTCGAACACTTGTCAGGCATCATCCTCATATTTTTTAGGCAGCTACGGGTCATTAAGGACACCAAGAAAAAGCCCCGCCCTTATCTACACATTGATTTCAAACTTGATGCGAATAGTGCATGTCACCGTAACTTAAAGGAAAATAATCTTACCCTGGCGTGCTTGCAACCTCCGATACACTGGTCAGCACCCGGTCCAGTGCAGGAGTCTTCACATTCTGGGTGACAGGCAGCACAGGATCGGTCGGCTTTAGGCATTCCTGTACTTTCCAGTGCCTGTGCATTGGTCGGATTCCCGGCAGCCAGTTTTGCCAATGAGAGTCTCAGTGTGAGCGGATTAACTCTAGTTGAACGACGAGCTCCGGTTAAAACTGCATTCTCGTTAGGTTCGTAGAAGCCGGGTAGGTCGGTACAGGAGGCTACACAGATAGTACCGTTGATGACCATGCCACTACAGCGAACGCAGTCCTCCCGCCGGGGACCCCAACAACCATACAGGCGATCGCACGCAGAGTGGCAGAGTGAGTCACGATCTCCAAGAAAAGATTTAACATTAAGGTCTACTAACAAAAACTAGGTAGCATATTCTATATAAACGAAAACTCACCACAATTCCGGTAGTCGATGGGTGGTATGGTTTTAATAGCCAGCGTGGCCTCGATCTTCTCGTTGGCTCTCTCACTAAGAATTGCTGAGTTGATACCATTTTCTAGAAGAAGAGAGACACTACTCAAGAACCGCATTGCCGAAAACCCAAAACACATCTGTCTGGGCATATAACGAATTTTAATACTCTCGGAATGCACTTTAAAGAACATATTCGATATGTCGACGGAGAAAAGACAAAAGGCACCAGAATGATAGATTTATTGTGCACTGAACCCTGAGTTGTTGTTTCAGACAACAGTGCCGGCAAGCGAAGCCAAGGCTAGTGTCGACTGCGTCCAGTCATACCTGAGAGTGAGAGAACGGCGGCAGCTGCTTTTATGTGATTGTGGAGCACGTTAGAATGGTTTCCAAATGGCGGAGTTATGAACAGTAGTCACCGGTTATTAAGCCCACCTTGGGCCCAGACCGAATTGGGCTTAATAAGCGGCTGGGCCTATTAACTGTGGGCCTAATAACCGGCGACTACTGTATAGTGGTTCATCCTGTGTCGGCCGGAGGGTAGTGTGTTCATGTGGCCCTTAAGCAGCCGCGACTACTAGGACGCGCGTGCGGGCGCGAGTGGAAGTCGGCCTAGCGTCTGCAAACCAGAGATTCGGATAGCGCTCCCTGCGAATTTGGATGACCGTGGGGCAGTTGGTATTGAAGATGGAAGCTGGATAGAAAGCTTGACTGTCCGCCAAACAATTCCACGCTGTAGTTGCATAGTTGTGGCAGTGTCCCACTCTGCTGCACCAGAAGCGATAAGAAAGAACTGCAGCGTCTCGCAAAGCATGTAGGCTGTGTGCGTCCATGGCTGAGAGCACATATATGTCGTCCGGCGGTGCACACATAGCGTGCAATATGCAGGCGGAAATACGATTTACCGACTCCCAAGGTTTCCGTCAGAGCTCCAACCCTTTTGCCGATCTCGAAATGTCTACGTGTGCACTGCTTAAACTCACTGATCGCTCTCAAGGTAGGGCCATTATTATAATCCTTGGGTCATGCGAATAATGGTGCCGGTTGGTAAGGTGATATTTGAAGGGTGACAGGATGTCTGAAGCTCTGGCAGCAACTTCGCGAGCCAAAATGTCGATTTTCTTCCTGCTAATCAAATCACAGGGGATGTACGTATATGTGATGATTAATAAAGCTTTAACGCCCCCCCCTCCCCCGTACAATTGCTACAATAGATGTGCTTCCAGTTTACTAGGAACCAGGCTTCGGTCGGAATTACTTGACAGTTTGGCCGTCGATTTGGACGATGTCCAATGTGTGATGGCGCAGGGATGGTGAACTGCACGGGAATTAGTTTTAAATGATAATATACTTTCGTTGCATCTACTGAGTTCTCTCTCTACCTTCACCCGTTTAGGCAGCCGGAGCCACTGTTCCCGACTCTGTTCCCATGGCGTGAGGGTACAGCCGAAGCCTAACATTGTTGTGTCCGGCGGCCTCGTTCAAGGTCAACTGTTTCAAGGTCATCCAATGTCGAAGTGAGCGTTTTCAAACACTGCAGACACTTTACCGAATTGCACTCGAACACACACACGTGCGCCCAGGTAGTCGCGGCCGCCCTAGCGCCACTTGAATACGCCCCTT